TTTATTTAAAATTGAATAAATTTTTTATATACGCTTATGTTTTTGATGACATTTTCTTTTTTTTCCATTCATTTATAATAAACATTAACAGGCAATGTAAAATCACGATTTAACTAATTTCAAATTCAAATATTAGGTGCAACAACTTTGCTTCCACCGTTTTTTTCCGAAATTCGAGGCTTTATTGTAAAAAACTGATTATACATTTATGATTCAAAGTATTGTCCATCGCTGGCCACTACTTTCTCCCATCTTTCGAGTAGCGTACGAATCCCGCGTCGAAAAAACTGGTCATCTTTTGAGGCTATCCACGAATTGATGCAATTTTTTACTTCTTCATAAGACCGGAAGTGCTGGTCAGCCAGGTCGTGTGCCATTGATCGAAACAAGTGATAATCAGAGGGAGCAACGTCTAGAAAATACGGCGGGTGAGGTAGGACTTCCCATCAACGTTTCCAAGTATGTCTTGACCACTTTCGCAATATGGGGTCGAGCATTGTCATGCTGCAAAATCACTTTATCGTGTCTCTCGTTGTGGCCGTTTGTCTTTCAATGCTCGGCTCAAACGCATCAATTGCGTTCGATACCGATCGCCTATGATTGTTTCAGTCGGTTTTAACAGTTCATAATACACTACGCCGAGCTGGTCTCACCAAATACAGAGCATGACCTTGGACGTCAAAATCACCGTTTTTGAAGCGTTGAAACCACTCACGACACGTTCTTTCACTAATAGCGGCCTCACTATAAGTATTTGAGAGCATTCGATGAGCCTCAGCCGCAGATTTCTTCATATTGAAGCAAAAAATTAAAACCTCCCGCAAATGACGAGAATTTGGCTCGTAAACTGACATTTTCAATCGAGAATAACTTTATGATGCAGACACAAATCGACTAATGTTTCTATGGGGGTTTCTTATGTTGACAGATGCCCAAATTTATTGTATGACGTCTATGATCTATTTATTTCGATCACCACTTAGCGCTAAAGCCATCTTAGGAAAACGGCGGAAGCAAAGTTGTACACCTAATAATAACATGAATTAAGCAAATTTATAGTAAATTAATAGTAATTAATATCATATATAATATATATATATATAATTTATATAATTCATATATAATTTATAGTAATTAATATCATAATGCACAAAAATCCTTCAAATGTTTAATTGTTAGTCAAGTTACCTGACAATTATAAATTTTCACTCTTATTAAGATAAATTTCTTAAAAATTAAAAAAGTGAAGTATATGCTTATACTTTACCCAGCACGTAATATCACAGCAATATCATTTTTTCCATTGCAATATTACTACGGAATCTAGCAGAAATTGTTGAAATATTACTAAAATGTTATAATAATATTATAATGTGAAAATGAATCACAAGAATATTACTGAGATCGCAAAAATATCACTTTAATATTATGTAATATTTCTGTAATTTTTATGCAATGTTTATATTTATGTAACATTTATTGAGAAAAATTAAAACATTTTAAAGAATTTTTAAAAGAATTTATTGAATTGATATTTTTGATGTTATTTTAAAAATTATTCCATGTATAAATTAGATGATATAAATTAGAAAAAAATACACTGATTGTTATTAATTACTATTAACTGAAAAAGTTGTAATAAATTAAAGTTGTAATAAATTAAATATTATAAAATTATGTGTATACATATAATATATACACACACACAATTTTATAAATGATATTTAATTTATTACAACTTTAATTTATTAAAACTTTTTCAGTTTATTATAATATTATATAATAGTTATTTTTAACAATAACAATCAGTGTATTCTTTTCTAATTTATATCATATATTAGAAATAATTTTGTGATATTTTAATAACGTCTTTATAACGGTCTCAATAAAAACGTTATAAAAACATTAATCGTATCATTTGTTACTGAAAGACGTCATATTCCCGCAATATTATTGTAATATTTTAATGGTTATATCAACGTAATACATTAGTAATATTTCTGTGATATTGTTTTATGTAATATTTTTGGTATATTGCAATATTACTGCGATATTACTGTGACATTATGTGACATTGCTATGTAGGGCTAATATGATTATATATCCAGATAGCAAAATGTAGACAGACTGGTAGCAGATTTGATCAGAAAATGTTAGCAGACTGACCACAACTGATGTCGCATTCTGCTCCTGTTCTGCCGACAGTACCTATTAACATTCTATGCAAATAGACTGGCAATAAAAACCAAACAGAATCTGTTGACAGAATCTGATAGGAGATTGCGAGGAGAAACCGAGGAAGATCTGCTATTTCCATTTAAATCGACCTGGTTTCTTATATGAAATTTTGCGTACATATATGGGATAAGGCATTTTAATTACCTCAGGCGAATATTTTAGAAACTAAGAGAGATACAAGAAAAAGTTTTATATGAAAATTAATAGATTTTCTCTTGGGGGAAAAAAGATGAAAATAACGGATTTTGAATAAGAGACACTACCAAGGTCAACATAAATTTTTTAAATGAATTCTCCATTTTTATTGCATATTCTTGTAGCACAGCTTGAGAGTTTTTCAAAATACTATAATAAAATATTTTTCCGTAAAGTATTTTTCGAGTTACAGGGCTCGAAAGTTACAATACCTCCGGCATTACTCAAGGTGTCCGACCGAACTTTTTGAATGTTGTTTAGAATCATGATTTAAATAACATTTGTTAAGATCAAGGCCATTGGAGATTGTTCCTCTTATTTCCATTTTTGTACTAAAAATTTATTTTAACACGAAAATTTATTTTAATTTATTTTAAACATGAAAATAAGAGAGAGAGATATAATCATCAATGATCTTGATAAATGTTATCCAGATCATGATCCTAAACAACATTCAAGAGATTTTTAGCCATCAGTCGGACATCTTGAGTAATGTTAATGCCGGAGGTACTGTAACTTTTCTTTTTATAAGGCTTTCAAGCCCTATAACTCGAAAAATACTTAACGAAAAAATATTTTATCATTGTGTTTTGGAAAGCTCTCGAGATGTATTACAAGAATATACAATAAAAAATTGCGATTCCATTTAAAAAATTCATGACTTTGACCTATCTTGATAGTGCCTCATATCCAAAATCCATTTTCACCTTTTTTCTCCCAAGAAACTTACAACTTTTATATAAAATATTTTTAATATATTTTTTTGTATCTTTCTTCTTCTGAGATATTCGTTTGGGGTGATTAAAATACCCTACCTTGTATATAATTTTACATAATTATATATTTATATATATTGGTGTGAAAACTGGAAACAATACTGTTTTATTGTTAAAATATTATTAATTAACTTCAATTTCAAAAAAACACATGAGAAAGTTATAAAATAATCAAAAAAATATTTAAAAATTCAGAAAACGTACTCCGAAAGAGCTTTGGAATTTCTAGGAGATTTGCCTATTCGATTTACATACGCTAATTCTCCTGGACATTTTTTTCTTATCAGAAAACAAGTCTATCTCTGAAGCCATACATGAAAATGGCAGATCTTGCTCGGTTTCTGCTGTCAATCTGCTGTTAAGTTATACAGCAGACTCTGTTCGGTTTCTATCATCAATTTTCTGGCACAGCACATCAGGCTTTTGTCATATTTTTGATAGCAGAACATTGCTGACATTGTCTGATAATACAAATTCTGTGTACAATTTGTTACCTTTCTGTAATAAATTGGTAGCAGACTCTGCTCACAATCTCTCTTTAGATTTGGCTATCTAGATATATTCGGAATTCGTATAAAATTATTTATAAAATTATATATTGTATAATACATTACACTTTGCTTAACGCTATTGAAGTTCGTGAAAATGACTCTATATAAAAATATAACATATATACTATATTAATATAAATATAATATAAATTAAACTTCTTATTACATTTTACAATCATAATTCTAACACATCATTCATTTCTGTCAAGAATCGATAAAATCATTTTATGCTTGATATATATATATTGTGTATCATAAACATAGTAGTGCAAATGTTTAATAGTAGAAATGTATATTAGTTTTTAAAATTATCTGGTCTGTGTGTGGCCATATTATTTAAATATATCTCATAATGCAAATTCATAATGTAAATTCTATTTTACTTTATATCAATCAAAAGTTTGAATGAATACGGTCGAATATTTCGAAAACAAAACACTTTTGAGAAAAATGTCTCAGATGTAAAGTTTAAAAAGATCTATGTACTGATTTTATTATTTGCGTAAAGAAATCAAATTGTTAAATTGCTACCTAATTTAACTTGATATTACTACGGTAATTTAGTAAAGTTTCAAAACCGAAAAATTATTTCGGTGCATATTTTAAAAGACTACATAGTATATAATTCACACAGAATTTATACAGGCACTTAAGATCTAGCTAAACCGTTTAAGGCATTATTTCTATAGATTATTTCATCTAGTTTTCAGCAAGTGGTGATTTATTTTTAAATGCACATTCAAATCAAAAATCAATTATCACCTGCTGAAAACTAATGATAAAATATTTTTTATTCTAAGATTAACTTAAAATAGTTTACTTCACATTCGGAATTAGAAAACTTGGGAGTTAAAAGAGGTTGAAGGTCTAAGAGTATGGGACTCAAGATTTCGTACGCCATATTGGATCTACTATTTTGAATTTCAAAATTTTGACAGCAGATTTGTAATCAGCAATCCCGAAAAACAATTTTCAAGCCAGTTAAGGATCATTACAGTTTAAGCAAGAAAATGTTACATGTGTATATGATGTTCATCGCTTCTTGGCGCCACATTGAATCCGATCATTAGATCTCTCAAAATGTCACATTTCTTTCGAAAGTAAATGCACATACGAATTTAATTTGAGATCTTGAACATTTATTTTCATTACGCTGACTTTTGGGCACATGATTCAATTGACGTAGAGCGTCTCATATATGACATTTATATATATTAATTTATAATAAATTACATTTCAGTTTTCTCAAGATGTTAATTTGAACGCTTCAAACGCGCTCAGTAAACATCAGCGAACCAAGTCCAGTCCAGAACAATTGGGAATAACGGCAATTTCTCCATCAGAAGCTAGTAAACGTTTAATTGCTTCTGAATCAATGAATGATTTGTTACCTCCAAGACATGTCAGACATAATGATATCGATATCAATGAATTATCACGTATCACACCACCAGGAACACCACCGCCACCATATCCTGCCCCTGTTTTAGGGCAAGACGTTTTCTCATCCACATTAAATGATGTAAATATTTTTATTAGTTTTAAATATGTATATCATTAAGCTTCTTTTCTTTCATATTCACTACATTGAACTAGTTAGATGCGATTTAATAAAATTTTTATTAATAAAATTAATTTTTGTATTTTATGCAATTATAATTGC